CGGGGAAGAAAAGAGGGAGCTGTCAGTGTTTTTAACTTGTTTTAAACCCAGAATCCTTTGCTCAAACGACTTCCTAGGCAAACTCTGTGCTTGGGTTCTTTGCACCTCCCTGGCTTCTCAGCCCAGTTTGAAAACACTAGATGTCTCCCAAGGTCTCTGCCATCTTAAAATTCATTTTTTGTATGTCCCTACCTCCCAGCCCCCCACCCGGGTCTTCCACGCTGTTCCTAGATACAAAAGCTGAATAGAACGCCCGGCCCGCCAGCAGCTGGTATGCAGCTGTTATCCCTCCGGCTCCACGGACTGCTTTCCGCTTGGATTTTGCCTCTTCCTGCTTCCTGGAAGGGCTGAGAGGCCTGGCCGTCCCTGGGCCTGGGCCAGGTCTGACAGCTCTTCTTGGAAAGTAACAATAGCTAGGACATCTACTGCCTTAGCCGCGCGGTGTCCGTGCAGAGGCGAGCCCTGCTGTGATTCCGGCTCTTTAGCCGATGCAGTTTGGCAAAACTTGCGCTTGGTCTCCAGCCCCTGCACCCTGTGCCCAACCTGGCAGACAGAGCATCAGACTGGCTGCCAGGATACCAGGCTCAGCCTTCTTTGGTTTCTCAGAATCAGGAAGGGAACCAGGATGGACTAGCGAGAAGACAGTCAGCCGTTTCACATTGCCAAGCTCAACCCTGCTGGCATCTCCAGGATGTAACCCTGCGCTGAGCGCGTCTCCTCCTGTTAACCTTTATGTGTGCCAGCTGCTGGGAAGCCCGTTTGGCCACGTCACCCAAGAAGTCAGAGGCTCCCTTCTTCCTTTCCAGGGGCAGCTGCTGTTTGATGAATATTTATACACATATGCTCATGGTTTTTAGAACATAAAAATGTGTTCTGTGTTCTAAAAGCTCTTCAAGGCTCTGCCGTGGTTAGCACTCTGGCACCTGGGCAGCAGCAAGCAGTGCCAGCTGTGTAGAGTAGTGAGGTGGTGCAGGCCCCTCTCACGCTCCGCTTTCTTCTCCCACGCACTCTAGAATTGCCTTGAATTCCTCCCACACTCCCATTCCTAGTTCCTGTCTCTTCCACGGCTGCCCTCTGAGTCCAGTTCTTTGCTTTCATCTCACCCCTCCAATGGCCCAGATAAGGGGCCGATCAGAATGGATGGGAGCCCAGGGCCTAAGATGACACTCTTGGAGTTGCATGGCAGTTTTTAATGGGAATGGCTTAGAAACTTCAAACCTTGCTCATAATGTATTAAATGTTTCATAAACTCATAGAAGCTTAGAACTAAAGGGGGCCAGAGTGGTCACTTGGTACTGTTCCTTCTTTCTGCAGATAGGGAACCTCAAGTCCAAAGAGTAGTGACTGTCCAGGATTATATGACGGCCAGGAAGGAATCCACATCTTCTAGGACAGTGATGGCGAACCTATGACACGTGTGTCAGAGGTGACACGCAAACTCATTTTTTTGGTTGATTTGTCTTTGTTAAATGGCATTTAAATATATAAAATAAATATCAAAAATATACATCTTTGTTTTATTATGGTTGCAAATATCAAAAAAATTGTATATGTAACACGGCACCAGAGTTAAGTTAGGGTTTTTCAAAATGCTGACACGCCGAGCTCAAAAGGTTCGCCATCACTGTTCTAGGGCCTTTCACCAAACCAGATAAAAGATCAGGAATATCAGTGTACCAGAGCAGTCTTTTTGTTGTTGTTGTTTTTTAATTCTCATCTGAGGATATTTTTCCATTGATTTTTAGAGAGAGTGGGAGAGGGAAAGACAGAGAAATATCGATGTGAGAGAAATACCCCGATCGGTTGCCTCCTGCACATGCCCCGACCAGGGCCCATGCCAGGGAGGAGCCTGCAACCAAGGTACATGCCCTTGACCGGAATCAAACCCAGGACCCTTCGGTCCACAGGCCAACGCTCTATCCACTGAGCAAAACCGGCTAGGGCCAGAGCAGTCATTTTAAATGTAATATTTGCCATATACATTTATGAAATATTTTTATAGTAGTAGAAATTTTATTTAGGAGCACAGAGTATGTCAATCAATCCCAAAGCGACTCTCTCTTTAAATGTGTCCACTTAACATTCCAACTATCTGTAGCAAGGGCCACTGTTTAAATCTAAGTGGAAAGGTGCCATCCTGAGAAGAGAGCAGAAAGGCCCCAAGGTGTGGTCCCAGGGCAGATGTGAAGGGAATGGGCGCTTTTACCACTGCACCATGCCTGTCACTTAGATGTGTTCCAGGCCAGCTTCGGAAAACCTCACTTGGATGCTAAGGAGATGCTATGAGGAGCTGTTTACTAAAATGTCTACAGAGCTCTGGGAGGACAGTTCTCCACACTTGAGAGTATGTGCAAATCACCGTCCAGTGGGTTCTACAGCAACAGGAAACCATGGCAGTGGCACAGACTGGCAAGCATCCTTGGCAGTGGCCTTGCCTTCGAGTGGGCACAGCAGTGGGGACAGCATCACAGGCCCTTTGCAGCAGGATAGCACCTCAGGGAGCCTGAGCTAGAGGAAAAGGGGGGCACTGCCTGGCGCCTGTGGGTACTGAGTTCCTGAGTGCACCGGAGGTATACCTTGGGATCCCACACAGTTGAAAAGAGAAGAATGGTACTAGGATATAGAGAGCTCCTGGCAAATGTGGGTAATAATATTTGCCTCATACAGTTATTGTGGATAGTAAATGTGATAAAGAGTATGTATAAAAGGCAAATATCCACCAAACACAGCAGGAAACATGAGCCCCACTGGCTGGAGGTCACGGTGGTTGGAAGCCATCCTTGTCCCTGGCATGGCACAGAGAACCCTCCAGAAACTCTTCCTCCTCCGTAGCTCTCATCATGCTAGGTATTGTCGTATTTAGCCTCATCTTTAGAGTGTATTCTCCTCATTATTGTCTCATCCTGTCACCCTACTGCATAAGAGGAGGGGAGTCCTAAAGACAGGAGAAAACACAAAGGTGGCCTTGATGTCACCATACGATAAAGACTACCTGCTTGAAGGTACTGGGTGACTGAGTCTATGAATTGCATCAGTAAGAGGAAGAAAGGAAAAATTAAGATACATCGGGGCTGTAGGGTTTAATATATAAATAAACACTTCCTAATAATAAACACCTTTGTCATTTCTGCATAAAAACCTCTTTTCCAATTTTACCCTTTATTTCTTATAAGAATCTTTGAAGCCTAGACTGACATCTAAGCAAGAGACCACATTGCCTTTTAAAGGGGAGGTTTGTCAGTGAAACGTGCTCATTTCTCTGTGGCTGGCACTTGGTTACTACCACTGCTCAGTAGTCAAGCTGTCTCTCTCCCTGTTTTATTTTTGTTGGCAGTTTCCTGTAGTTTTCAGGATACATTTCATACAAGGCATCCCTGAATATGTTATAGAATGTTCCCGGCTTACCCTGACTTTTTGTAACCTTACTGATTCAAGTTCTATTTTCTGGCATAGCAATTGTTTTAGTTGAGGGAATGTGATTGTCTCTGCCTCTTACATCTTGCAAGTTACATTGGCAACCAGGAGCACTTGCCCATAGAAATGCATCCACCTAGCACACTTCCCTTTATAGTGGGCCGTCCAAAAAATGCATCCACCTAGCACACTTCCCTTTATAGTGGGCCGTCCAAAAAATGCATCCACCTAGCACACTTCCCTTTATAGCTGACTTTTTATATAACTGTCCTTTCTTATTGGTGAAATGTGATGTCAAAATGCACGTGCATTCTGATATGCAGTCAGTTCTTGATATTGAAGTAGTTGCATTCTATAAAGTCATCATGAGCACTGGATCAGGAACACAGAAGCATTGCTCCTAGGAGGGAATTCAGGGTTAGGTTCCTGCAAACCTCTGGTCCCATTTTGGTCAACTGATCAATACATAATGTTGTGTTTTGTGTGCTTCCGTTTAAACGCCTTATTTAACATACACTGTTAAATCATAACATTGACCTCTTGGTCAGCAGTACTAGAACTCAGACCTGCAAGAAGCCTGCCGAACACACATTTTCTCGATAATGCACAGCACAGCCTTCTCAGGGTTAGAACACGAGACAGCACTTCAGCACTGTGTTTCGGTGCCAGCAAAACCACCAACGAAAAGCACAAAAATGAGCAAACCGTGGCACTGAATAATAGACTGTGAAAAGGACACCATTTACAGTATCAGTTTGGAATCAAGAAGGCAGAGGCATGGTCTTATACCTGCATGCAGGCATCTCAAATTGTAGTTCACATTTTCCACCGCCCTGTGCGTGTTCTCAGATGACTGTAGCAGTGCCCCAAGAATTGATTTTGGGGTTACAAATAAGTTTTAGGGAGTAGACAAATACAGAATCCATGAATAATAATTCACTGCATTTTTTATATTTGAATACAGAGTACAGATGAATCACAGAAATATTCAATGTGTAGTTAATATATACTGAATGTCATCCAATACCCATTATAGTAAAGGCAGATTGCAGTAACACTTAAAATAGTAATTCTAATAGGCCAAATATATTTTACCTGTTAATTTATGCCAAAAAGAAAAATATGATAATGGCTTGTAGAAATGTCAAGACCCAGAAGCGTAGAGTAGTAAGTTCTTCCATTTAAAGAGCAGAAATAAACTGGCCTAGTTATTATTCAGTGTATCCCCATAATTCATCATTCCTTTCTCCTTACCCCTGCACCCCTGACCTCCTCTATGAGGTCTTGCTGCTAAAATGCGCTTGGGAACATGCTGGAATCCAGCCAAGATATGCTCCACAGAAGCCGTGCTGTCAGTGGCATGACCAGTGCAACCCAGGAGGTGACTGCTCTGTGCGAATATTTATTTACTAGATGTAGTGCTGAGTCTCTGTTGATTAGCAGACCTAATCTGAATGCAAAGGTACAGATCCCTCGTAATGTGATAGCATCATACTCTCAGACCTCAAGTGCATCACCTTACCTAAAGGGTTAGAGGTGCTGTACTAGTATTAGACCTGTTTAATTCTGTGGTGACTAGTCTAGACTTTTTTCTTAAACAGACTATATGAACTATGTCACTAGTTACTTGCTAAACACTTACTCATTCAGATTGTATCGCCCCTCCTTCTCAAGAGAAGTGATTTAACCCTAGTTGGTTTGGCTCAGTGGATAGAGCGTCAGCTTGTGGACTGAAGGGTCCCAGGTTTGATTCTGGTCAGGAGCACATGCTTGGGTT